GGATCTTCCTGATCTGAAATGGTTAAATAAGGGGTGAGTTACACTAGGCCAGTAAGGACATCATAATATATCGCCGTCACAGTAAGGCATCTAAATTGTAAAATAAATCAAATAGGAATCGACAGAGAATAATGTGCGGTTCGAGCTCCATTAGCAATCGTAATTAATTATGCATATCTATTTAATTAGTACAAAATACAGTATTATCATTTATTCAAACTTCAATTTCATGATAGGAAATAGGCTGAGGGGTCCTTACTTGATTCGACGTCGAAAATTAGATGGTTACTACGCCTACAGGCGGTCCCTGGGTTCCTTGAATTTTCTTTCGGGAACTGAAACGCGCTTACGATACCTACAAGTGTCCCAAATAACCAAAAATTCAGACTCAGGTCCTACTCGGCCAATTTCGGAATTCCGGCACAACGGCGATCCGCCTCGAGTTGGTTGTTTTTGGTCGTTTTCAGCCGAACTTGCACCGGTTACTGCGAGAAAACACACTTAGGGCCCTCGGTGGGCCGAAAAAACGCAGAAAATCAAAACTCACCGGCGGTGGGGCACTCCGATGCGGCGGCTACTTCGGTTCACGTTGCAGTTGGGTATTTTGCTTCGGTCAACCTGTAGAGAAGGAAACGGTGGTCACAACGGTGGAAAAATCACATCGAACGGGAATCGGGAAGGGCCTTATCGGAGGTATTTTTATGCCAATTGGCCGGTTTTTTCATTCCGATTTGGCCATGAGTGGGTTTAAAATTGAATTTCGTGCAAGAGGAAAATTTTTTACCTCGTTTGACGGTCAGAAATTGCTCCAGTATGGCGGCGGGTGGCGGCGATTGGCTCCCTGACGGTTGGGTTGCCTTCTCCGGCGAGGGGCTCTGGCGGCTAGGGTTAGGGTTTTGGTGCGGATGGGGTTATTTATATCCATCCACTTTTGATCTGTATCGTCTATCGCTTTTAATTTGAACTGTCCGATCGCGATTAAATAGGGAGTGAATATGGGTCGTTCATCGCAATTCAATTTGGGTTGTCCGTGTGCGATTCAATGTGGGTCATCCGTGCGCGATGCAATCTGGGCCGTTCATGTACGCGGGAACGAATCTCAGCCGTTCGATCGCGCGCACGCGGATCGTTCACGAAGCTCCCCCCATGTGGCCTCCCGCATCAACGCCTCTGCCACCTGGCGCGTCCTGGTTGGTCGGGGCTGCTGACCGGGCAGTTGACGTGGCGTAACTTTTTTAAATTGCGTTTTAACCCCCGGTTTCCGATTTTTCTTTCAAAAATACTCTCAGAACTCAAATTTTTACAATTTTTTCCTAAAATTGTTTTCATCTAAATTTCTAACCAATTTTTACCATTTTTATTATTATTATTATTATTATTTTCATTAAATTAAATTAAAATTATATAAATAATAATTATATTTATATAAAAAATAATAATAATTAATAAAAATAAAAATAATAAAATGTTGGATGTTACACCTAATATCTCTAGTATAGAGTGAGGATACAAGAATAATATCCGAAAAACTCAAGGAAAGATACGTATAACTCATCCACAAGGAGAAAAAAAACTCCATACCTCAACGATTTGAAGGCCGAAATTGAATGACTGAGGCTAGAACTTAAGTGCTTGAAAAGACCCAAAGATACTGGACTCTTGGCACATTCAAGTATTTTTTATATCTCTCATGGTTTAAATGTCTCAAAGAAACATTTTTTATTATTATGGATTGTGGACTCAGGTGCTACCGATTATATTACTAGTACCTCTGGATATTTCAATATCTTGTTCCAGGTCCCAACAATAGGAAAATTGTCATTGTTAATGATTCACTAACTATAATAGCAGGAGTAGAAAATATAAAACTCTCTTTGCACTTTATGCATAAATGCCGCAGAATCATGTAATCACTTACTCTTTGGTGCCCAGTGACTTATGAGCTGTGGAGTATGGTTTATAGTCTTCTTGGGGTGAAGTGGGTAATGGTTGGAACGGTTAGGGAGGAATTATGGGCTTGGGATGATATGGGAAAGGATAATGGTCGTTGGTGTATAATTCCCCTAATAGTGTTATGGGTTATTTGGAAAGAAAGAAAACTTAAAGCCTTTGATGGGAAGGAAAACCCGATGTATAAATTAAGAGATAGGTGGTTCCACATTTTTTGGTCTATGTTCATGGGGCGTGACGTTGTTAGAGATGAGGATTTTAGGTTTGTCATTGATACCCTAACTAGAATGTAAACAATTGTATATAGGCGGAACTCTGGTGCCTTGCGAATATATA